CCAGCCATTGTCTGGGCGCCAGGGCACGCCCTTTGACATTTGCGCTGCACAGTGGAGAAGTGGGGGACAGCTGGAGGCTGTATGCTGATAGCTGCTGGCAGCTGGGGCAGAAGTCTTCACTAACAGGATCCTGGTGACACATCCGTGTCCACCACAGGGAGACTGATGACTCAGGGCCAAGGAGATGGGGAGGTGCCCAGAGGCAAGACAGGCTGAGATGCAGAACACCAGTGGGGTCACTCTGGGTTGGGCCTAGCCTGCAGCTGCCACCACTGTGGCAAAGGGGAAGAAGGGTTTGAGGAGGTGGCTGTGGTGTGTAGGTTTGGTGGTACAAGGTGTAGACAATCCCCATCAGTGAGTATGTTCTCAAAGAAGCTTTGAGAAATGTTTTCTCTTGTTGGAGAGAAGGTTGAGAAATGCTTGTTTCAGAGATTGGGAAAGGGGCTTCCTGGAGACACTGAGGAGGGTTGCAGGCACTTTTATGTGTCCATAGGTATCTGTGGTGGGAAATGAACTGGGCCGTCATCTCTGCCGCATGCACGCAGGTCCTCCGTCAGCTCACCCGCGCGGCAGAGACGGCCGGACGCCTTGCAGTGCTGGGCGAGCATGGCGGAGGGAGAGGGGGCTGGAGGCATTTTTAGGAGAAAAGGACAAATGGAGGACCACCGAGGGACAGTGGTACTGAGGCTCAGAAAGGTTTTGCAATTTGACCAGATCAGGGAATCGGTGCAGCGATGTTGTGTCGTGTGCCAGGGCCCGGCAGGGCAGGCACCACAGCTTCCACCGGGCAGGGGGGGTCCAGTGAAAGGTCGACTAAAGGCGCTGGACGGGAGAGGACACGCAGGGACAGCACGCGCCTCGGCTCTGGCCAGGGGAGCAGAACTGACCACCCGAGGCCTGAGGGGCGAGGGGCAGTCCTGTCAGCACGGGTGATGGCCCCGCGGTGTGCAGAGGACTTCCTGACAGGAGCCAGGACCTCCAGGGGAGGGAAGCAGCCAGCCCGCCGTGACCCTGCCAGGAGAGAGCTTGGGGCGCAGATCAGTCTCCCTCAGCCTCCCGCCGTCGCCTCCCCTGCCCCTTCTCCAGGAGGCAGGGAGCCTCCCAGCCCAGAGCGGGATGCAGCTGGAGGAAAGGCTTGGAATCAGCGCGCAGCCTCGCCTCTAATGACACAGGCCCGAGCCAGTGCGCGCCCCCACTCTTGTATGGGCGACATGAGGGCGACCAGCTCTCCTGCGTGGTCTGCGGAGGGTTCTCGTAGGTGGCAGCGGCTACTGCGGCAGTGCCCCCAAACTGGGGCGGAGGGCCCAACTCGGGCTGGGGCGGGGGCACGTTCCCCAAGGCGCGGCCAGCGCTGGCTCTGGGAGGCGTCTGTCCTCTGGCGGAGCCCCCCGGCCGCTCTCCACAAAGGACTCTCTTCCCCGCCGTCTGCTCATCCGGGGCTGGACAGACGCCCCTCTGGCCAGTGGCCCCGAGCGGAGCAGCGCCCCTGTGCCCTCGAGGGAAGAGGGTGTCCTGGCGTCCCGGACACCGGAAGGCTCCGCGGGGCGCCGGGAGGCACAACGGGAGTCACCGTGGAGGACAAGTCCCCTTCCCAGCGCGCTCCGCCCGGCAGCCGCGCGGCCCGGGCCGGAGCGCTCCCTGGCGGGCGGGCAGCGGAGCGGCTGCCGCGTGGACCGCGCTCCCCGCCGGCCGCAGGAGCAGCGCGCAGCGAGCTCGCAGCTGCCCGCCCCGAGGGCCGCCCCGCTGGCCGGGGGCGCGGGAGGAGGGCCCGGGTACCGGTGGCAGGAACTGGGGCTCTGGGCCACGGGTCAAGCAGCCCCAGGAAATGCCGGCTTCGCGGTCCCGCAGGGGGCCGCGGGGGCACCTGGCCCGGGGAGGCGGGGGTCGTAGGCGGAGGGGACGGGCGGCTCCAGCAGCTGCGCCCCCCCCCCCCAGCGTAGGATCGCAGAAACTTCAGGCGGAAAATACTGCAGGGTCTTTTGGCTCCAGGCCTGCACTTTACAGACGTGAAATTTTAGGGCCAGAGGCTGGCCCGGCTGGGGTCATTCAGAGGGTTGTTAGCAGAATCTTGGGGAGCTGGGAAAGGACAGGACCCTGAGGCGACCCTGCCCTTCCAGTAGGAGACGGGCTGTCTCCAAGATTAGAGCCCTGGGTGGGCACCCCATCAGGTAATCCCAAATAAACAAACACACCAAAATAAAACAGAAACCTGATGGGTGTGCTGGAATTGAATTCTCTCCTTTCTCCATTTTCCTAATGCAAAAGTTTTGAATGTCTATCAGAGATGAACGCTTTCCCTAGGTTTGGGTCGTAGTTATCTGCGATGCAGGCTCCAAGCGCGGGGGAACCTGCAGTAAGGGCGGAGGCCGCCAGCTCTGTCCAGGCTTGACCCTCGGGTTCCCCATCTGAGAAATGGGCCGGTGACAGGCAAGCCGCTTGCCAAGGGCCGACCCAGAGCGACTGCCGCGCGTGGGGATTTAGGGACTCGGCCTGGGCCTCCCCAGCGCAATGAGAGGACCAGCCAGGGGGCGAAAGGGCCCAAGCGTCGGGTGGCCGCCCAGGCCCTCCGCTAGCGCAGCGCGGCTCCCAGCCCGCCGGGGGTGCCCAGGCCGGGACGACCGACCTTGGGCGGCGGAGGCCCTCGGCGTTGCCCGCACCGCGAACTCCGGGTGGTTCCTGGCAGTGGCGGCTGGCGACTTAGCTCCCGGCGCTCAGCTCAGCGTAGCACTCAGGGCAATTTCCGACGCCCACATCTCTTCCTCCACGCCCGCCTTCCTTCCCCTCATCCATCCCCGGAAAAAGGAAATGCTACATGTACCCGGCGGCCTCCATTGTCCTCGCTCTCTTACTCTGCTTTGTTAACCCTCAGGACAGGGACATTTTTTAAAATTCAGATCCCCAACGCCCTAGAAACACTGTAAGACTCACCCCCCCAGGCAGGCCTGCAGTCGGGCGGGGAGAGTGGAACACACACCCACCTAACGCGGACTGCCACCCAACAAACGAACTGGAGGCGCGCCCTTCCGAGACACGTTTCTGCCTCACATTTCAAAACAGTCGGGCTAGGGCTCAGAAATATATGTGTTCTCGTGTTTTAGAAGTTTAAAATAAATTGATAATAAATAAATTGATTAAACTAAAAATTAAGGGCGAATAAGTCCCTTCCAAGGAACAAACACAACATCCCAGCGAGAGAAGGGGAAAGCTGGAAAGAAGTCCTGTCCCTGAGAACATAAAAGGGGGAGGAAAATCCTCTACCTGAATTATTTCCCCTCAACAGTTTTATAGGAAAATGTCTGGGGCTCGAGGTAGTTACAAAGAGATCGCCCGCAGCACAGCCGGGCGCGCGCCCGTGGTGGCCGCTGGGTCGCCTGAACCCCCTGGTCACCGCCGCCACTCGCGCACGCTCTCGGGCTGGGAGTGTTAAAGTGAGACCGGCTTTCTCAGCTGGCTCCTCATGGAGGGGAACCCGACCCGGGGCGGGGGTGGCTGCCGGGACTCGGGACTCTCGGGGCATTTACACAGGAAGGGAGAGTGCTCGGTGCCGCTGCTGGCGCCCAGCCCGGGGCAGCGCGGAAGAGGGACCCGGGCTCAAGTCGGTTCCGCTGCGTCGACAGCGCAATGCAGCGCGGGCGGCGGATCCCGGAGAGTCACCTCGTGGGCGACACTCAGCCCCGGGGCCGCGCTGGGGTCCGAGTCGGAAGGACTCTGTCCCGGAACTGCGCGCAGCGGGCACTGGAGCCCGCGGCCCCCGCAGAAGCCGGGTCACAGGCATGGAAAACTTCCTGAACACGACCGGGATGAGCCTGAGGACACTGAGCTTCCTAACCCCTATCGCTGGGGCGGGAGTGGGGCCGAGCGCGGCACCCGGCCCGCGCCCTCGCAGCGAGCGCTTACAGTTCTTCGCCGGACGCGCTGACCCGCCCCGCCCCGGCGGGTCATCTTGCCCAAGAAAATAGGCGAGAGCGGCTTCGAGCGGACTTGGCTATTAAATAAGTGCAACGCAGTGATGGATTTGCTCCAAATTTACGTTTGAGTAAAAAAAAAAAAAAAACCAGTGGGAAAAGGCAATACGTGTCACACGTCAGCAAACCAAACTGTCTCCTAAAAGAAGGCGCATGTTGGTTTTAATGTTTACTCAGGAAAAAGAGAAGGTAGAGAATTTTCTCAAACCTAATGTCTCCAACAAACTCATGTCCAGATAAAACTTCCTACACGTGACACACACACGCGCGCGCGCGCTTCAGCCAGAAAACTTTTTAGCAGACTTGATCTCCCTGTTAACATCTTCCTTCTCTCCTTCCAACTCCGCAACTCCCCCCGCCCCATCCCCCCCCACGCCTTTGGGAGGCCGGAGAAGAGTTTTCTTGAGGACGGCTTACACGGATTCCAAAAAACCGGCGGGCCAAGGGAAATCAACCCCTAGCAAGGAATAAGAAGGAAAGACAAGGGGGAAGTTGACAGCGATTTCCAAACATGCTTTCCACTCAGCCTTCCCGTGCCCGTCCCGGAAGGGCCCCTCTGTGAGTCCCGGGCCGGGGTGGGTTGGTTCGGGGGCCTAGCGCACCTCCGGCCCTGCCCTCCCTCCTCCAACCCGTCCCTACTTGGCAACACGAACACACCACGAGCCTGCCTGCGAAATATTTGGATGGGGACTCATGTCCCGACATCTGGGCAACTACATCTGGCTCCCGGGGAGCGAGGGCGGAAATGCGCGCGGGTGCAGGAGCGCACCGCTCGGTGGGGTCGGATCTCTCTCAGCTCTCGGCCCCTGCAGCATTCTTCCCACCATCTGCTCCTGTCACCACCCCCGGCTCCGCCCCGGTGAACCCGCCCCTTAACCCGCAGCCAATAGCGACACCCAGCCGCTTTACACCGCCCCGAACCCTTTCCACACCCCCATGTCCCAGGAGCTGGTTGGCTACGGAGCGCTCGGCGGAGCGCCTGTATTTGCATGGTACTTGGGGTTCCTGGTAGGTAGAGCAGCCTGTCACTCTGAAGCGCAGGCCCGCCCACTCCACCTCGGAGCCCGGCTCTCTTCCTGCGCAGTTCTCCTCCGCAGCCTCTGCGGGGACGTGCCGGGGCTGCTCCCAAGGCTCAGTTCTTAGGGCTGCGAGGAGGCAGCCCCGGCGTGCGGCCGTACGCACCATCTAGAGTGGCCGGGGCGCGGGGGTGCACCGTCCCCCGGCCCTGAGCGAGACGTCGCGCCACAGGAGCAGCCCCTCAGCCAGCAGTTGCCGCCGCCCCGACTTTCCGTTCCAGTTGCAGCTCCTCCCGGGCAGCATGTCAAGAGCCACCGCCGCTACAGCTGCCGCCGCCACCTGGGGAAGAGCAGCCGCAGCAGCGGCGGCCGCGGGCACGCGGGGGCAATAAACCGAGCCACCCGGGCGTCCAGCCGGCCGGGGGACCCTTTCCGCGCTCACTGCTCCGGCGGGACCCGCGCCATGTGCTGAGCCATGTCCCTGGCCGCGCCCGCGGGCAGCGCATGGGGCAGCGCCTGAGCGGCGGCCGATCCTGCCTCGATGTCCCCGGCAGGCTCCTGCCGCAGCCGCCGCCGTCCCCGCCGCCGGTGAGGAGGAAGCTCGCGCTGCTCTTCGCCATGCTCTGCGTCTGGCTCTACATGTTCCTGTACTCGTGCGCCGGCTCGTGCGCCGCCGCGCCCGGGCTGCTGCTGCTGGGCTCGGGACCCCGCGCCGCCCACGCCCCGCCAGCCCTGGCCAGTGCTCCGGACGGGACGCCCCCCCGGCTAACGTTCGGGGGGCTGGCCGCCACTCCGCTGGGTGCGGGCAAGGGAATGGCCAAGGGCGCAGAGAGTCAGGAGGAGCAGAGTCCTGAGGCGCCGGACTCCCCCAGCCCCATCTCCAGCTTTTTTAGTGGGTCTGGGAGCAAGCAGCTGCCGCAGGCCATCATCATCGGCGTGAAGAAGGGCGGCACGCGGGCACTGCTGGAGTTCCTGCGCGTGCACCCCGACGTGCGAGCGGTGGGCGCCGAGCCCCACTTCTTCGACCGCAGCTACGACAAGGGCCTCGCCTGGTACCGGTGAGTTTCCCCGCCAGGGGCCGGGGCTCCAGCCGAGATCCACACCGTGAGCGAGGGGACGCATGGCATAAGATGGGAAAATGACAGGGGCACAGCTTCGGAACTGCCGGGCGGGAAGGGGCGGTGTGGGGCGGCGGCGCAGCGCATCCCGCGGGGCGCGGTCCGGGGAGTCAGCTCTGTTCTCCCCACGACACACAGAAACTTCTGGAGCGCTGGCGGCTCCGTGGTCTCTGGCGCCCTGTAATTAATCGGGCGACCTCGCCGCAGGAAAGCGGGGCAGAGACTAAGACCGCACTCGGCGAAACGAGCTGCCTTCTGACTATGGCGGCGTCCCGTGCGAGCCACGCTATTGCTCGTTTTTGCGAGCTTCCCCGCGGAGCCCGGGACGCTGGCAGGAGTGGTCTGCGCCTCTCCGCGCGGTCTCCTCGCTGGAGCAACTCTAGAGCCGCTCCCCAGATGGGCGGGGTGGGGCGGCGGCGTCCCGCGGAGGCCACAGAGTCTGTCCACTTTCCGTTCCGGCCGCCTGGCAGCCGGAACGCGGAGGGGGTCGGGCCCGCTTCGCTCGCGAGCCGCCCGGGCTGGGGAGGTGAGCTGGGCGGGTGGCCCGGAGCCCGCGCCTGGCGGCGGGCGGGCGGCGCGCCGAGCGTGGAGCGGTGCTGGTCCCTGTCGGGCAGAGGCGCGCACTGCAGCGGCGGGAGCGGCGCGCGGCGGAGGCCCCACCGCGCCGCGCACTGCCCGGCCGGCCGTGCCGAGCAAGCGCGTGTCTCCGCCGGCCTGTACGCGTCGGGGCCGAAGAATTTTCGGGGCCCAATGACTGAGAAATGAGGGCTTCGAGGCCGCGGCTTGTGGAAATTCTGTTCTCGTGTTGGGTTGCGGTCGGGTTCCAAAGGGACATTGGCCCCGGAGTTTAATCACGACCTCTGCCCACCGCTCTCCGCAGCTTCTGGGCTTTGCAGTGAGCCGTTGGGTTGCCCGACTCGGGGCGAGGGCTGGAGTGCCGGGTGGTCCAGTGGTCCAGACTCTGGCCTCCGACCCCGGCACCGCCCCTGGCCCCAGCCAGCGAGACTCCCCAGAGTCCCCGGCACCCCTCCGGGCCCAGTGGCTGCAGAGAGGCTCGGGACTTCGGAAAACAAAAGAGGAAAGCGAGCCGAACCCCACTCCCTGTCCCCACCCCACTTTCAGGACCCGGATGGGATGAAGAGTGAAAGGGCTGACCCCACGGATCACAGCCGCCCCCTTCCCAGCCTCGCCCTCCCCTTTCCCCTTTGTCCTTAATGTTTCCATTATTGTCAGGGGTTGCCCAAGTCTCCGAGTTTACCCAGCCGTGACAGTCACCCTTCCCGGCGCCCGCGGGCCGTGTCCCGTTCCCGGGACACTGATGGGGAAGAGCGGGGCCTGCAGTCTGGCGCCTGGACTCACGTCCCGGGCAGCCGCGTGGCCTCGGTGCTCTCGTCTGTGTAGTGGGAACACTGAGGTTCTCGAGCGGCTGCGGAGGCGAGCGCGCGGTGCAGGCAGTGCCTGGCGGGCACGTGGGCTCTCAGTGTTAGCTGCCGCGTCCCCGTATTGTTACTTCCACCAGCCCCCCTCCCCCTCCGCCCGGGACGGCGGTTCCGGGCGGCAGGCTGTGACTAGCGCCCTTCCAGGTGGAACCCGCCAGAGCCTGGAGGCGGCCTGGGGTTTTCTGAGATCAGACGCACGCGGGCCGGGCTGGGAGGAGCTGGCAGGAGAAGATCTAAACTCTCAGTGTCAGGCGGTTTAGACGCACCCGGGGCAGGCTGCGGAAATCCCCACAGGAAGATTCACACGACCTCCGAGGCGGCTGCCCGCGCCCCGCCACGTTCCCTCGACTGACTCCAGACGCTGACTACGGGACCGAGTCGCGCTGGACGCCCGGCCGGCCGCACAGGGAGCGCCGGTGGCGCTGCGGGCGGGCCGCGCAGGGCGGCCGGACCGGGGGCCGCGGGGCTCGGCCGGGTCGCGGGAGGCGGAGGCGCGTGCCCGTCCCCGCCGTCCCCCTGAACTGCGGGGCTGCGCCGCCCAGATCCGGAGGCACAGGGCCCGCGGCGGCCGGAGGGGCAAACTGCAAATGCCGCAGCTGGCGCCGAACGCCGAGTTCTAGACTGCCCGGCAGCGCCCGGCGCGGCCGCACGGTTAGTGGATTTTTTTAAGGAAAAAAAACTGTTTTAAATGCTTTCTGCTTAATAAACACTTTTAATCAATAGAGAATAATTAATGGAAGTCTGGGCAAGGGTATAGACTTCACAGTTATTTTAGAGGCGGCCTCTTAAGCCTGAAACAGACGCGCCGGGAGGAGACGCCTGCGCCCGACGCTCACCCGAACCCGCGCCCGAGCGCGCCTCGCCGCCGCCGGTCCCTCCGCCCGGCCTCGCCCGCCCGTCTGCGCGCTCGCCGGCCAATCGGAGGGGAGCACAAGTAATAATCAACAGAGCTGCGACTCAGAAGCGTGATTAAAACAAGTCCTCAAGACTAGAAAATACGAGAGAGGGGAGACATTTTGAAGGCATTTGAGACCAAAAGCTGTGAGCACGAATGGTTGAGTCCGAGGATCGCATCCTCATGTGTGGGAGAACGAGGTCGCGGCTGTGGCGGCCAGTGGTTAATAGGTGCAACCGGAGGCTACGCAGCCCTGCTAGTGGCCTAACCAGCAGCCCATGGCCTGGACCCATCCGCGTGGCGTCTGGGAATTTGACTGCAGTCGGTTCGACTTGGCATAGGGAGACACCTCGGCCAGATCCGGCGGGCTCACGGTGGGGGGCACTCACCCGGGCGGAGGCGCAGAGCTGCCCCGCCACCTGGGCCTTTCCGCCTCCTCAACCGCGGCAAAAAGCAAACGCACCGGAACCAGCTGTCCATTTGCGCTGGAACCCGAGTTTGTTTTAGCCTGGGTTTGCCTTCCCAGTTCATTATCCAGCTCTTGCAGTCAGGCCTCCCAGACCCAGCAGGTGCCGAGGAGGACTCCGCGGGGTGCTCCTCGGGCTACCTGGCGCATCTGGCCTCTGGTCCATGGTGTGACGCTGTTCGAGGAATGTGGGGCTGTGGTCCAACGTCACGTATGTGAAGCACCCACCCTGTACATTTAGGCTTGGAATATTGATTTAAACTTTGAATGGTCAACAATTAAATATGTAATTTTTAAAGTGTCTCTGTGATTTGACTTAAATTCTGCTAGATTTTTAAAAATTTTAATAACCCTCAGTTTGGGAATTAAGCTAGCCAAATACTGTGTAATTATTTGTTGTACAGAAATATACCTTAGATTTTATAGTGGCAGAAGCTCCTTCCCCACCTTGACTGGCTACCCTTTCCACTTTGGTTGTACAAAATAAGCTGACACTTAAGTGCTGTCGCAAACATTAAACAAGGGTGTGTGTGTGTGTGTGTGTGTGTGTGTGTGTGGCTTTAATGTTGGTAGCTAACTCTTACTTGAATGGTTTCCCCATGTGCCAGGCACTATTTCAAGTTTTACAGGATTAGCAAATTTAATCCTCATTACAGTTCTATGAAGTAGGTACTTTTACAGATGAGGAAACACAGGCACAGAGAGGTTAAGCAGCTTGCCTAAGCTCTCACAGCTGCAAAATGACAACGCTGATATACCGACCCAGGTAGTTCTGCTCCAGAGATCATGCTGCTCTGTGCTCCCTCGCAAATACCAAAACATATTTGTCATATGTTATGGCTCCAAAACTGGGTTTGCCTTGAAAAAGTTTTGACAGTTTTCTGATGTGCCTTCAGTGATCTTGGTGTGGATTGTACACTTTGTCATTCACTTTAAGAAAATATCAGCTCCAAAACAGGCTTTGTCTTAAGTTGTTTTGTAACTAGAGTGAAGATACTCACACTGCCAACTGTGAGTGGTGTGAGTATTTCTCTGCATAGGACTGTTAGAAAGGAAACATTAAAATGACAAAATTATCCCTCAGGTATAGAGACTGAGAAAACATAGTGAGTGCCCCTTCTGATTTATTCTCTGGCATTTGCCCTTGTTAAGGCTGGTAGGTGTGGGAGGACATAGGGTTAAATGACATGTTCCAGAACGTGTTGGAATTAATTTATTCATTTAAAAAAACAGTGCCTCCAAAATAAGACTGAATAATTAACTTGTGCTGATTAACCAGAAGACAATTACAGCTAACACTTTGAGGAGATTCCTTTAGAATGATATTCTGAAACCCAATAACTTCAGAAATCTCTCTTGAAGGCTAATAGCTGAAAATAGCAATTTTCCTACATTTTTAATTCAACAGATGCTGACAAAACATCATTTCCCTGTATTTTCCTAGTCTCTTTCTAAAAATCTGGTGGCAAAGACTTGTTTCTTTCTTCACTGAGGGAAATGTAAGATAAGATCTGATGTGAAGTAATTGCACTTTCTCAGTCTTGGAGTTTAAACCAAGTATGTAACTCACTTCCAAGGTGCTGGGTGAAGATCAAAAATCTACATTTATATGCAACAATTTGAAATACAAACCATCATGTTACAAAGCTGTCAAGATTTATTAGCAAGACAGTGTAGCATGTGTTGAACTCTGTTTTTAATTAGGCACCTAAATTAGACCATAAAATGGTTGATTAATCTTTTACAAGTTGAGGGGAAAATATAACATAAATTAACCTAATCATAAGTGTTTTCCCAGATGCTCTGAGTTAATAAAATAGTCAATATTTAATAACAACCTATTTGTTTTAGATAAATAAAATGCCAAAATATATGAATTAAGTTATACTTATCTTCCAAATGATATGCTATTATTTGAACAGGTCTCTAAAAATTAGGTTCCAGTCCATGTCTTAAAAATATTTATCAAAATAGCATAGTACAATCAGAAATTAAATGCTGACTAAACTAGATTTTGCTTTTTTAATGGAACCTGATTATTGAAATTTTATAATTTAATATAGACTAATATTTCTGAAAGATATTTTCCCAGCTGAAATTATATGGTTTGAAATTGTAAAGTGATTTGTCACAGCTTCTG